TTTCTTTCCATTATTTAAAAAAATTCTGGTGAGTGATTGGTTGTGGAAAACAGAAGGCACCTCTGTATGCGTTTGGGTTCCCAGAAGCATGGAAAGTTGTCCGTAGTTTGTGGCAATCAGGTCAGAAATATCATAAACATTCTTGCGCAGAAATTACTGACACCACAACCCAGTGGCACAATCTGAAAGCGGTGCTGACGGACTGATAATTTGCATCTAAGTATGCAAATTACTCCCATTCATAAGTAGGCATACCTTTGGAGTCACAAAGTCAAAACAGGTTGAACAAAATTATAAATTCCCAACGATATTGCTACTTCATTGTTCCTTCATGTTGTGGTCTGGTGTGCCTCTTGGCAGTAGTTTTAACAAAGTGGAGCTTGGTGAACATGTGGCACGTGCCGTGTGTGGTAGCACAAATAGGGATGAGCCAGTGTAGCATGAAATGGGACTTTAAAATGCAGGCTCATCGATAGTATTGCAGTAATTGCACAAATATAAGTGAAAATTGTGAATATTCAACTGATAAAAAGAAAAAAGAACCAGATTTCATAGTGAGTATAAATTTCATGTGATGCCAGATAATGTTTAGAATCAGCCATCTGATGATCTGTCAACTGTTAAGATAGCCACTGTACTAAAATGCAGTCTTACTAATTACCATCAACACATCGTCAATACCTCTAAAAGGCGTGGTACAGTCCAAGTAAAAAATAAGAAGGCAAAATGGTGGTCAACGGTGACGCTAGTTAGAGATGAATTTTTTCGTGTGAAAATACTCTGTTTTCAAAATTGCAATGTTACTTCAAATCATTGAACATTCTCGTTTAACCTAAATATTACGGTTCTGTGTCTCTTTACCGGAATTACACGTACATGTATACTGCACTTTGGATGTGTTGACTGGTGATTAGTAAGACCCTTACAATGCTATTTGCTCCAGACCTATGTGTATATGTAGTTTGTATGCAACCCCCAAAATGGGTAAATCTGAACCCTACCATGGTACATATTAAAGAAGGAATGAAAAGAATGTGTGTTGTTACAAACCTCAAAAGCTATTAAAGTTAATGTTACCACAAAGTTGATGAAATGAGGTCCAATCGACTGGTAGGCTTTGTTCCCCTATCCTTCCACCCCTATCTTGGTATTCCGTCTGACCACAGGAACTGAGCAGTCTGTGCAGTACCGTATTCATCAAGTCTCGCTGAGTGGGTGGAAATCTAAATGTGCATTCAAGAAGGCAGAAGCCATTTCTCCAGGAAGTCGCTAAGGGGGAAGAGGCAGGGGTGACAGAGGGGCTGGTCCCCTCGTTTGCCAGCAGTTGTCCCAACCCCCCTCCCAAAAAATGCAGCAAAAACAATCAGCATCAAAATTAAAAAGATTTGTGTTTTTTCCTTATGATGTACGAGTACTCCTTTAGCAGGAATGAACCCCCCCCACCCAAAGCTGGTGATAGGACTGCACTTTCCATACTTGGTTGGTGTCCCTGGCTAATTTTTCAGGACATAAAAGTCTCTGATGTAGAAACTTTGTTTCAATATACTGGTCTGTGTCCTGCTTCAAGAACACGAAATTCTTAACCTCAGCACAAAGTTTGAATTCATTCAATTTAAATTTGATGATAAGCGCTTCCTCATTAATATTGAGCTGGCAGCAAAGTCAAAGTTGGAGGCAGACTTGGGGCGGGGAGGCAGGGAAAGGGT